GTGGGACAGGGAATCCCTCTGGAAGCAGCAGCTTTGACTCCAGAGGTTTCCAAGTGCTTTTAAACTCCAAAATATTTCCAAGGCAAATCCTCCCCTCCCTGTGCCAACAGTGGTGATGATAAAATCCAAGGATTTGGGGCCAGGAAGTGGATTTGAGGACCTGCATCTGGCAGGCAGGTAAGTGGGACAGGGAATCCCTCTGGAAGCAGCAGCTCTGACTCCAAAGGTTTCCAAGGGTTTTCCAACCTCAAAATACTTCCAAGGCAGATCCTTCCCTCCTTGTGCCAATGGTGGTGATGATAAAATCCAAGGAATTGTGACTAGGGAGTCTCCTCAGGTGGAGAGGAGACAGGTATTGCAGGCACGTATGTGGGACAGGGAATCCCTCTGGAAGCAGCAGCTTTGACTCCAAAGGTTTCTAAGGGTTTTCCAAACCCAAAATAGTGTAAAAAATTCCCAAGGCAAATCCTGTCCTCCCTGTCCTAACAGTGGTGATGATAAAATCCAAGGATTTGGCCTCAGGTGGATTTGGGGACCTCCCTCTGGGAGGCAAAGATGTGGGATAGGGAATCCCTCTGGAATTGAGCAACTCTGGCTCCAAAGGTTTCCAAGGGTTTTCCAACCTCAAAATATTCCCAAGGCAAATCCTGTCCTCCCTGTCCCAACGGTGGTGATGATAAAATCCAAGGAATAACCTCCAGGTGACTTCAAACCCTCCATCATTGCTGTTTTTCCTTTGTCATTCCTGGCTGGAATAGAGGAATTATAATGACATTAAACTTGTCCTTGGGTTAAATACAGGAAGTTTAACCCAAACATCCATTCCAGGAATTCAATAAATCATGGGATAAACATCATATTGATCTTCCTAAGAGAAATTTTCCTGAAAAAACCTAAGTTTTGGCATTTGAGGAGTCCAGGTGTTTAAATTTGGGAGATTTTCAGCCTCAGATTTGTTGATTTTTAAGATTTCAAGGAAACAATGGAGACTGAAACCCTTTCCCAACATTCCTTACTCCTCTTCAGTCTCCTGAAATTCCAAGGAGTGTTTTTCCTTTAGTTTTTTTTTTTGTAATTCAACCCTGGATTCATTTAATATATATCACTTAGGAATTTATTTAATTTATTTATGTAAATCCTCTTTTTTTCCCCCCCCTAATTTTTTAGTGACAAAAGAGCAACTCGAGGCCTGGATTCATTCCCAGCTTATTAGAAACCAAGCAGAAAACAGGATA